TCTCCCCGGGGCATTCCTCTGTGGCCGTCGTCGTCTCGCGCGTGGGTGGCGGGTACCCGCAGGCAGCCGTGTGCCAGGGTCTTGCCGTTTCCTCGTAGGGTCTTCGCAGGGGCTGGACGGGACAGACGAGCCTGATCCAGGCGCAGCTTCGGCTCTGGTCCCTCGGCCGCTTTTTCGGGAGCGTGAGTAGCCTCGCGTGTGCCTGCCGGTTCAAGGGCTTGGGCTGTGCGTGTCCTTGGCATCCCCTGTGACGCCTTCCTGCTAATGAAATGGCACCTGCTGGGATGCGCTAGCTGGTGATGAGAAGTGGCGGCATCTTGATGCCGTTGCTAAGAAAGCAGAGGGATGGCTGACAGCGTTGGGCGCCGAGGCTGGCACGTCCCAACGTGCGGGCTTGTCCCAAGCGTACCGACCAGCCGCCTCTGGCCTGTGCGTTGTGCGTACGCTGTGGAGTGGAAGGTGGACCTGTTGGAGGGGAGTTAGAGGGCAGATCGCCTAGGGAGAGAGGTTGAGAGTTGGGGTTGTTCAGCCTGCTGATGGGAAGACTCCAGGGACACCTTGCTGCGGCCTGTATAAAAGGGGCTCAGAAAAAGATGGAGAAAGACCTTTTTGCTGAGGCCTGTAGCAGCAAGACAAGGGGTAACGATTTAAAACTAGAAAAGGGTAGGTTCAGTTTGGACATCAGGGCGATGTTTTTTTGCAGTGAGGATGGTGAAGCACTAGAACAGGTTGCCCAGAGAAGTTGTGGATGTCCCATCCCTGGAAACGCTTAAGGCTGAGTTAGATAAGACTAGTGGAAGCTGTCCCTGCCCATGGCAGGGGGGTTGGACTAGATGACCCTTAAAGCTCCCTTCCAATCCAAACCAACAAGCAGCCTACTTTGTGGAAAAGGCAGAAGTTTTGGACACCTGTGGGAACGCTGCCTGTATGTTTTTGAGAGCTGTGATAGAAAACTCCGTTATTAATGGAAAGGTTGATTGCTTCAGGCCAGCTGCAGTCTGGGGCATCTGTTGTGTAGCTGTAGTTTGTGTGGATTCTGGTTCACAGCTATGAGAAGAAAGGCTGGATAATCAGTAGATCGTGGTTAATTTAATTTCTAAATCTGGTTTTAGCCTTTCTGTGCACTTTTAGTACAGAATACAACTATCCTGCAAAAGATTTGAAATAAAATTGGGTAATAATTAATATTTCTTTATCGTTTTGCTCCCTTGACCTAATTCTAAACTTGAGAGCTCTTTGCCTCTCAAACCAATCTTAAGCTTTGTTCTTTTATACTGTTCTGTAGAAAGAGAACATGTCTTACCCTTCCCTCCCCTGTTTGTACTTTAAAACTAGGTAACAACGAAGATGATTTTTTTTTTTTTTTCCTGAAGACTAACTCCATTTTATTCAATTTTTCTCAGAATTTGCAGGCTACTTGTAGGCAGCTGTAGAAGAACTGTCATTGTGATATATGTTTGAACGGTGACAATGAACGACAGCGTTAACATCTTGAACTCTGCTTATCTGGCGGTGGAATATATAGACTCTTTCTTGCCTGACAATCCCTTGCAGCAACCATTTAAAAATGCATGGAATTACATGCTGGATAACTACACAAAGTTCCAGATTGCAACTTGGGGATCACTTATAGTTCATGAAGTTTCATACTTCTTGCTCTGTGTACCTGGATTTGTCTTTCAGTTTATACCGTACATGCAAAAGTATAAAATTCAGCAGGTAAGACAAAGTTGTGAATGGCTCCCTTCCTGATTTGTCTTTGAATGTGTGAAGTAGAACAACTGCAGTATCCTAGTTTTCCAGTTCATATGACCCCGTTTCCCCTGTCACTATGGACATCCTGGTAGTTGCAAAGCAAAATTACAGTGTGTGTGAGGAGAGAAAGAGAAATGGATTTGGGGGAAGGAAGGGAGTTACTTCTGAGGGAGGGTGTCCTTTCCACCATGGTTGTTGTGCTGGTTTTAACTAGGATAGAGTTAAGAGAGACTTAATTTACATTTTACAGAAAGCTAGCTTAGAAAAACAAGAGGTTTTGATGAACCTGAATCCAATCCCATGTAATTTGTATTGCCTGAGTTAAGTTGTATTATGGGAGGACCTGCTTTTTGTCTTCCAAGGTGAAATGAAACTGCCTCCCAAATAATTTTTGCAACACTTGAGTTATGTGCAATAGAAGTATGTAACACAACCGATTCTCTTTGCTTCTTCTTAGGATAAACCAGAAACATGGGAAAAACAGTGGAAGTGTTTCAAAACACTTCTCTTCAATCACTTTTTCATTCAGCTTCCTCTGATTTGTGGCACCTATTACTTCACAGAGTATTTTAACATCCCGTATGAGTGGGAAGAGATGCCTAGATGGTAGGTAGATTTCCCTCGTATGTTGAGGCAGAGTTACGTGCAGTTGGAGGCTGATCATTTAACAGATAGTGTTGTCAACTCCAACGCACAGTATTTTTTTTTTGGCAATGTAAACTGTTTGTTAATCTTGTTTCTGTTGATAGTTAACTTCTACAAGACCTAATTAGAGCCTTCTAGATTTTTTTTTTTAAATGGCCCCAGATTGTTGTGATACGTGGAAGAAGGGGGGATGAGGAGGGAGTTCATGGAAGCAAAGCAAGATTCTTGGTGGCATGGGTTAAATATTGGACTTGGGGAGTGGGAGCCGTTTATCCAACGTTTTTTTGATTCCTCATAAGTGCTTTTTCCCTCCACCTTATTTCATATCATAACAGCAGTGTGTTCCTCAAGGGAGAGAAGGTACCACCTGCTTCACATTCTCCTTTTTTGCACTGAACCGATGGACTTTTAAACAAACCTGAATTAGTTGTAAATGCCTCTTTGCTTTATTGTTGTTGGTTTGGGTTTGGTTTGGTTTTTTTTCCACCGATAGCTGTTCTTTAAAACAGAAGCTCATGTTTCTTGGAAATTTATTTTCTATCTGGTGTAGATAGCTGATGCAGCTCTTATGTTCTTATATCTACATCTTACACAGTCTACAGATGTTCTTTGTAGACTGTATTATTGAAATGACAGTTTGTACTGCATGCTAGTTCACTTCAGCATATCAGTAGATGAGCTGATAAGTACAAGGACTAAAGTGCTTGGCAATTAATATTTTTCATATGTTAAAAAAGGTAGTGTCAGTGCACTGTTAGTCAGTCAATAATATATATAAATATTTCCCACCCTTACTAGCATATAACTACCTAATCTTTCAAGATTGTGCATCTGCTAGTATAGTCTGTAATTAATAGCTCTTCTCCTTTTTTTTCAAGGTACGTTCTGGTTGCCCAGTGTTTCGGATGTGCAGTGATTGAGGATGCCTGGCACTATTTCCTGCACAGATTGCTGCATCACAAGAGAATATACAAGTATATCCATAAGGTTCACCATGAGTTTGTTGTATGTATTCCTTGATTATTCTATTTTTAGCAGTTTTCAATATATGCGGTTTCATACACCTTATTTAAAGGTCTTTCTTGAAAGAATTAAGAATTTTGCATCCTTCTGACAGTGTGATGGATATCTTTTTTTGAGCTCTGTGTCAAGAAGAGTCATCCATTTTGTTTCTGAAAACACTTCTGTAACTGTCATTCCTTTAGTGGGAATGAAAGGTGGCACTCATCTCTTGAAGTTTGATAGTATCTGTTGAGCCAGGTGGAAGCAAGCTCTTACAAGTGTGTTACATTGCTGGTGGAGGGGGAAATGGTGGGTTTCTGGTTTTGGTTGTTGACCAGTTCTCTGCCACCTTGGATATTAATTCCCAGAAAAATGATCCAGACGGGCCTGGGTGTGTGCAGGATGATTCAGGGAAGAATTACAGCTGTGGATATAGGCCACTTGAAGCAGTACAGCCAGTTGTGTGATACCACACTGAGAGCACAGTGCAGTACAGAGATATTTTGAGTGGTTACACATTTAGCAGTGTTGGAGCTGACGTTGAGCACAAGATAATGAGCCATGCCTGACTGGAGGTGGCACTGCTCTGAGCCAGGTAGGTCCAGCAGTGTTCACACCTTACAGTTGGTGTAGCTGCATTCAGGTATCTCTGGATCAGAAGCCAGCACTGCTGTGTGTGTCCACTGCTGTGTTTCCGTGTGTAACAGGTAGAGAATCTGGGTATTGATTGATGCATGAATGTACGTCTGTAGCAGCACCTGCTGTTTCCCTCTTGCTCTTGGCAGCCCCTTGGGCCTTTAACAGTAGCAGCTTCTAGCCGTTATTCTTGAGTGGTTAACAGTTCACATGGAATTGATTTGTAGGCTAATGGCTGTTTCACTAAAAACTTTCCCTAATAGGGAAATTGCCCTAAGGCTCAAGTGAGCTGCTTTTTTCCCCCTGATAATCAAACTTACAATGCTGAACATAAAGTAATTTTTTTTTTTTTTTAATTATTATCTTTCTATGGTGGTCTATGTTTGAAAACTGGAATTTTTTTGTAAACCAAATGTATGAATGACTTGAGGGTTGCGTGCGTATGTGTGTATACATATATTTAGAAAACATACATAAAGAGAAGAAGATGTTTTATTTCAATCTCCTATTATTTGAACAGTAAGAATTTGTCTTTAAAAAAGTCAGATATTTGAGGGGGGAGTGTTAATTATTTTTCAAATAAATTTCTAAGTAAGTCTTTATTCCGAGAATTTTTTTGGCTTCCTTCTTTCTTCTGCTTCTAAGACTGGATGTATAGCAAAGCTGATAGGAGCTTTCCAAACACATGTAATATTCCTGAAATAATGCTTTGGCCTTGGGTGATGGTAAGCCTAAATAAAAGTTTTCAACTTTTCAGCTAGTGGTGAAGTGTTTGGAATCAGTAGTGGAATGATAATCCTTATGACCTTAGAATACTGTTTTCTGTTTTTCCAAAGAGGAGCTGAAAACCTGTGTGAAGGCCCTTGCTCATACAGGCCATTTCCTTTACCCAAAGCATCATTCTGTTTGTCCTGTCGTAGCCTTGTGGGGTAATGGGAAGGGGAGAGTACCACAAAATGATGATTCTGCTTTTGGGAGTATAGAAAGTCAAAGTGACTGTTTCCTTGTCTGTTACCTCTTTCTAGTCTCCATTTGGAATGCAAGCAGAATATGCACATCCTCTGGAAACACTTATCCTTGGAACCGGCTTTTTTATTGGAATTGTTGTTTTCTGCAACCATGTGATTCTTCTGTGGGCATGGGTGATATGTCGCTTGATGGAAACCATTGACGTACACAGGTGAAATCCTTGTTGCTTTTTGATAATTGGTCTTTCTCTTCTCCCCAAGTCTGTCTTAAACTTGCCTGTCTCTTTCACTGAGCATTATTGTTTATTTTGCACTAAAATGCTTTTATACGTGTTACAAGGATTTATGCACAATCTGAACAGTTATGCTGTCTTCTGTTTTGAGGTAGTGTTAATAGCAAATGTTGCAGATTAAAAGAGTGTAGAATGTAGCTAGAGCATCTCACTGAGGATTTCAAAAGTTAGGTGCCTTATTAGGATGTCTGGCTCTTGATATTTGGTGTACAAGTGACCTTATGAATATTAAAGCACCAAAAATCGATTACAAAATAGGATATTCCAGCCATGAGTTCTTCCCTTTTAATACCTTGTCAGCCAGTTTTCCTGGACAAGAGAAACTTCAGGCTAGAGAATCACTGACTGTCTTTAATATAAATAAATAAATATGTATTTATTTATCCAAGGTAGATTGAAAGGGCAAGACTTCCTGTTTCTGTGGTGTAACTGGCTTCTTTCAAATCTGGCTCTGAAATGCTAGCACAAATCCCAGTAGTAGGGTTTATCTGCAAATGAATGAGCTTTTCTTTCCTGTGGTCAGAGGAAGGGGAAAGTCAGAGTTCATTATTTCAAACGCTAGTGTGTACACTTGCCCTTCTGTCTGTGAATGTATTATGAAGCATATAGTCTTACCATAGCCTGTGTGTCAAGTGCTTAAGCGGGAATGTGAGCTGCTGACCAGCTCACCGTACTCAGCACTGCTGGTTTAGTGATGCATTGGTTGTATACTGCGAAGTATATGCTGCGACAAATCGTAAAGTGATTGATGAAAAATACGAGTCTCCTTCAATCATCATTTTATTCTGTTGCCCGCATCGGATGTTCGTAACAAATTACCTTGCGCTGTCCCCACTAGGTGGTGGTAAGATGCTTTCCAGTACTACTAAGCAAATGAGTTAAAATCCCTCTAAACCAAACTCTTATGATTTTAATATTACTTTAATCATATATTTTGAATTTTAAACATTTGAAGAACTTGCAGTGAGCTGAAAATAAGAGTAGAAATACTTCAGCTGCAGTTGATTTGAGACGGCCTTTGAGCAGCTCTGCTGACGTTCATAGCTTGCCTCTAAAAGACAGTGTCATTTCTTATTCTTCCTAATGTCACTCTTGAGTCGGTTAAAGCTGCAAAGCCAGCAGGATGTCAGCCACTGATTTTTTTTTTCAGGTGCTTTGCTTACATTTTTTTTGTGTTGCCTAATAAACTGAGCTGAAATTTCAGAAAGTGGCAAAGCCATTGTGGCATAGTTTACAGAAGCGTTTGGCTAGGATAGGAGGGATCTTGCTTTGCTCTTAAGCCAGTGTTACAGTGATTACCTCAGGGCCTTATATACCCAAAAATGTTTTTATAAAATAAAAACAACAAGTTAGTGTCTATTTTGTGATTTATATGGGAAAAATTCTTATTATAACTTCTTTCTTTTTTTCCCCCTCCTCTGTAGTGGCTATGATGTTCCACTGAACCCTCTTCATTTGGTGCCTTTCTATGCTGGGGCCCGTTTTCATGATTTCCATCACATGAACTTTATTGGCAATTATGCTTCCACCTTCACGTGGTGGGACAGAATCTTTGGTACAGACTCTCAGTTCATTGCCTATAAAGAAAAAGAGAAGAAGCAACAACTCATAACGAAGAAGAAGGCTAACTAAATTTCCAGTGTAAAAATTCTGATGCTAATACTGTTAGTCAGCCTTTTGCTTTTCTGTAAAGCAAAGTAGTGATTGGGTGTTAAGCATAAATCTTGTTCCTTGGCTTTTTTTTTTCCAGCTAATTACACTGCAGTATCTTCCTAATGGGAATGCTTTCTATTTTATACGTAAGCACTGCATATATTTTAACTACAGATTCAAAGATGATGCAAAAAAACCACTGCATATATTTTAACTACAGATTTAAAGATGATGCAAAAAAAACCCCAAAACCCAACAGATGACTTGTGTCTATCCATTTTTTGGGGAGGGAAAAAGATAAAATTGAATTTATCTTTGATGTTGCCCACTTTGGATCCAGGTAGAATTGTATATGTACACTGAAATTGAACGTAGGTTGTTTTTTTTTAAATACATATTCTTAAATTTGTAATATCAAATGGCAGAACATAGTGCTGGTACCAGTTAACGTATTATTTAAATATTGGGTAAAAGTTGCTTAAAACCAAAATGCCTTTCCAAGCTTCCTATTAACAAGCAATTTGCACACTGGATGATGTGAGGTGTTAACACAATACCTGACTAAACGTGAGTTAGCAGAGACATTCCTGAACTAGATTTATTATGTTATTTTAGATTACAGGTAAAAAGAATAGAAGTTCTGTTTGAAGAAACTGGTTTTTGCTGCTCTTTTGAAGTTGGTCTGTCAGTGTACTTAGCATTTACATTACATTCTTCTGTGTGTTGTAATTTGCTGAACTGACTTGTTGCTATATTTGCTCTTGTGACTGATGAAATAAATGTGATTTGGTTTGATGTGTATATTATACCTTTCACATGTTGTTTAATACAAAGTTGTAATAAAAAAACATGCAGGATACAGTGTCTTACTCTGTTCATCATTTTAATGAAAAAATATTATTTCTGGTAATGCAATCTGCAACAGCCCCATCTGCAATCTACTTAGAGACAGCAGTAACATGGAGATGGAGAATATCTTGTAGATTCTGCTGGTTTGTGTTTTGAAGGACTTGAATACATAACTACTCGCTGCAGTGACAACTTCAGGCCAAGTGCATTCTCAAGTTAAACTAAAGCTGCCATAAACTAGAATCTCAATCTGCTACTTGAGTTGTACTAGTAATAGAAGCCGTAGTCTAATATTGTTGAATCTACTCTAAATATTCATTGCGCAGGAACTAACAGTGGAAGTATTTATGGAGGGTTTAAACCTTTATAAAGACCTTTCACTTTGTATTTTCATGTCAGCTGCTCTTCAGACTTCAAATATCACTTCATCTACCCCTTAAGCCCTGTAGAGCTGCTTACTGTGTTATCCTTACTCGAGATTACCTGAATTTTCATGCTATTTCACATGCAGTCTGGCATAATGCTCCAAACAAGCACTCCTGTGAAACTGCAGATGACATCAGGCTTCTAACAAAACCCAAGGTGTTAATGATATTCAGTGTGATTAAAATACTACTTGAGATGTGGGGGTGGTTCAGATTCCTCTTCTGCAAATGTTCTGTAGCAGCTTTTACTTCTCTGTCTGCATCCCTATTGAAATTTGGTGTTCTTCCTCGTCCCCTTTCCTCTAAAGGGATGTAAAAATACTTGACTGTGGCAGGTGAGTGGAAGCCGAAATCCCTGTTGGTCACTTTTTAGTAGGGACTGGTGTGTAAGACTTCCTGAATCCATATGCACTGCCAGCTGAACTCTCCATGGTGGAAGCAACCTCTATAAGCAGATTTCAACAGTGGCCATTATCCGCTTTGCTTTGTCAACTCCCACTCTCATCCTGCAGCTGCAGCTGTACTTAGCTTTATTTTACCGAACCCCTACCCTAAAGCAGGAGGAGCTTTCAGTGCTTCAGCTTTTCCCTGTGTGCATGGTTCTGTTTGCTGGCGCAAGGGCTTGTGCCTATACACGCACTAGTGCAAAATTGTGTACAGCTGTGAGCCAATTGCCTGAATACTGCAGTAAGGGTGTTTGTAAAAGCTCGGTGTCTCCTGAGCTGTTGGAGAGCTCAGAGCACTAAGTTTGATGGGATAACTTAGGAAGTTACAATGTAGATTCCATTCTTCCAAGAGGTTGTGAAAACAAGGAGTGTAATTTTACCACATTACTTATGCCATCTTTTTAGGTACAGTTTGCGCAGGGGGTGCTCTTATTTTTTCATTACTTGAATCCATATTTTTCTGACACCTGTGGCTATTTCAGGATTTCTTTTATGTACATCCTTAGAGTAGAATGCAATAACATAATTGTTTTTGATCCTCTTTCTTTAAAAAATATCTAGAGAATTACAGAATCTGTGCTTTATAAATTTACTTTTTCGATGAAAAAAAATGTGCCCACTGGACCTCTCTCAACACAGGAACTTGCCTTTGAAAAGCACAGGCTTGTTTTGCTGCAGGACTAGGACCTGCATTTCACCACCACCCAACGCCCTTTCAAATGCAAACTTTGTGTTTATTACTGAACATGATGCTGGCTAGTAAATGACCTTACTGCTATGCATATTTTATGCATATTAAGAACAATGTTAGGCAATTAGATTTCTAGGGAGAAGGCAACTTTTTGCCGTCAGTTCTCGCTATCATTTTCTATCTGTGAAGGTAATAAACACAGCAGTCAAGTTGTTTTTCAGTTGGGTTCAGTATAACTGGGTTATGTTTCTGAGGTTTTAGACCTCTCATTATTTTAGAAAATATTAATTTACCTTAGGAAATAATGATGACAACATGCAGGTGACAGCTTTTGCCTCTTGACAAGGCGCAACAAAACCTTATACAATCTGTTGTCCTTTATTCTCCTTAGCAAGGAGAGATTTAACTCTTAAAAGTGGTAGGATGGGCAGTAAGTGGGGGAGCGACGTTTTCTACAACTTAATCTTTCTCTGAAAGTCCAGTTTAGTTTAAGTAAGGCTATCTGTGGGAAATAACAACTTGTACTGTTCCTGGGGCACAACAATAATTAAGTCCTATTAAAGCCATGAATTAATTTCTTGGGTTTTGTGTCAAAAAACATGGAAACTTGAAAAGTACAATAAATAGTTAAGATTAGGATTACAAAATAATCAACTGCTTTTGGCTGCTCGTGTGATATACTAAATAAGGAGGTTTATATTACACTACAGCACAGCTTGCCAGAAAATATGACTGATGATTGATACGACGATATTTGTATTTTATATGACTTCATTTATTTTCCCCACACAGTTTATAATAAAGTACTGCTGAGTGTTTTAAGATAACAAAACATGTGGTATGTTTCTAGATTTTTAATATTCATTTTTGTTGAAAATGATATTTTTGAAACTACTTTATGGCTACAGATACTTATTGCTGGCTACAGTGTCTGATGCATTGCCTCCAAATCTCGATCCTGTTATTGCTGCCTCTCTCTCTGCTGTGGCCTCCTGGTAAATCTCAGCCACCGAAACCTGTAACTGACAGGTCCAGGGAGAAGGCAGCTTTTTGCCATTGGTTCTTGGTATCATTTTCTATCCATGAAGGTAATAAAACAGAGCAGTCAAATTGCTTTCAATGGAGTTTTTCACCAGCTGACTGGATTGTATCACGTCCTATGCACTAAGGCATTTCTTCTTATTTCTCAAATCACTTCTGTGGCTTGTCTCTGAATTCCCAATGTCTTGTTTCAGCTGTAGATAGCGGAAGCGCATGTTCGGATCATTCTCTCTAATACCACCTTGGTGGTATAACCACATCCTTCCTCTTCACCATCATCCTTCTGTCTGAAATTCAAAGATAAAATTAGCTGTTCTGCAGCATTTCACTGGAAAATACAATCAATTTACCCTTCTACTGTGATCTCTCAATGCTTCTAGCAATGCTGCTTTCCAGACAGTTACGACTGTGTTTTGTATTTCTCGCACTTAAGTGGAATTTGCAATTTGCTGCTCTGAAATATTTAAATGTGCTCGAATTACCAAGTAATGTAAATCACATTCCAGAGCTGCTATATCCTTATTACTCACCATTCTTTGTCATCTGCAAATCTTAATGTGTTTGATTCACATCTGTGTAACCACTGAATAAATCAGCCCCCAGACTTGAAATACCAGTCCCCATGGAAGGCCAGAAGGCTGCTGTTAGATAATGACTCACCACTTTTAAAAAACCTTGTCAGCCAGTTCTGCTGCCTCTCAAAATGATGCTCTGTGGTAGTTCCTGTGTGTGAGAGTGTTTGGCACTGTAGCCATGCCATCTCTCAGGAATGGCACTGCAGTTCGGTGTCCAGGCCCTAGGATCAGCGCAGGAGCGTAGGTCTGCAGTGTGTGAGTGTGAACATTGGGAATGCTTTCTATGAAATTTAAGAATCAAGCCTTTAAAGAAGCTCTGTGCAGAATTGTTACATATGTAGGATGTTCCTCACCCAACAGGAGCTCTTAAGCACCTGGTAGAGTTGAGTTTCAGTAAAATGGCTGAGTCATCTAACAGGTGGAGACAATAAAATTGCATATTGCAAGATTCAGTTTTGCAATATGTAACTGGAAGGTAGTTTTATTTCCTTATCCTCTTTGTAGCCTCCTGTGTAACTGCCTTGACTGTAGCCAGATTTTAAAAATCTATTTATTTATTTATTTCCTTTGCCCTGCCTTATGTTAAGCCTGTTCTCAAGCCGTGACTTTCCGTATCCCCACCCTGTTTTGCAAGCATCCAAGAAACAGAGCCACTGAGTTCTGCAAGACATGTTGGAGCTTGGTAATAGAAGCTTCTGTCTTGAAGACAAGTCTTCAAGGGGTCAGAGCTGTCAGGTACAGTGTGTTTATATTACCAGCGTTCAGATAAGTTTTGTAAAAGCTTTTTACATCTCACTAGTTACCTCTACCTGCTTGCCTGGTAATTTGTCAGTGCTGAGATCAGCTGTTCTCATTTTAAATGGATTGGAACTATTCCGTTCCTGTCGTTTCTTTGTCATTGAAACCCTACCAGCTTTTCTGTGGTTTGACATGTTCTAGGACATACATGGTTTATGGCTGTTCCTTCCAAATAATTGTGTTGTGTTGATACCCTAATTAATCTTTCAGAATTTTTCCAAGGCTCGAAAATGCAATATAATTGAAGATGAGCAGGCCAACCTCAGAGTGGGGCTTAAAGACCAACTAGTGATTTGGTCTTGCTGATCTGAACACGTTTCTCCCTTATGCATTATGTTCAGCATCCTGCTTGATATTTGTACGTCAGGAA